TTTCAAATATTGGCATTGTCATCAATATCATTTTTTTCTACGCTACATAAGATTTAATATGTTGTCAAGGTTACTACTTAGAGAATGCACACGGTTACAAATATTATCATTATTGCTACCGCTAGACAGTGTAAAATGTCATAAACGTATTTATTTATACACTACATTGAATTGTAAATGTTAACATTAACTTTATTTTAATAGGTTAATGCTCTGCAGTGTCCGCCCAATACTTGGAACTATTCAGAACCCTTAATCTTCAACAAAATTACTAAAATATGAAATTGAAAGAAAAGGAAAAACCAATAGTTATGACAATACAGTCTTCGGTTGTGTATCAGAAGTTGTGTCATTAGATAACAAATCAATCTACGGAGAATGGATCGTTTTAATTTTGATTACGACACAACATATACAAAGTCGACTTAAAAATAATCACATTAATAGAGATGAAGTAAATAATATATATTTTTTCTAATTTCGTGGATAATCCTTGACTACTATTCTTGAATTAACGCAAAAAATGTTTACTATGATTGTGTATTTCATCTGTTCACAGTTTTGTTTTTGTGCCTGTATATATTTGGGTAATAACTTGCAAAAACAAGGTGCTTAATGTACAAACTAAGAGTGCCCAATTATAGTGAGAAAATGAGAGGCGATGTAGCTGAATGAATATTTAACACCTTCACACCAATAATCTGATGTAAAAATTCACTTCCTTCTTGGCTGTCTGGAAGAATTCCAATATCCTGAATTGTAAAGTGATCTATTTTATTGCTTGTAAGTAGACATGCAATGCTTTTATATTCTAAAACTTACGGCTAGCCATCTAAGCATGGCATGGCCTGGTAATTAAGGTGCTCGAATCTTCTTCTTCATCATCGGGATTCGGTCCATGTTTTGGACCAGGGAGGGTCAGATTCAGCGTAGACCTCTTCCTAACTCTCCGGAATTGTTATTTTGTTTGCACTGTTACTGAATCCAAGGTAATAACCCTTTTTACGTTGTTGTTGCATAACTCACAGTATGTTACATTTTGTCCATTGTCTGCATTTTTAATTAACATACTCTTTTCGTGCCATATCCAGTTCTTGGGGTAATATTAACTTGTATATTTTCACTAGCTTCACGTATGTATGATCGCACTATTAGTTCGTGCTCACAATACAGTTCCACTTAGCAGTCATATACACACAGACATAACCCTATTTTTACACACAAAACCCTTTTAAAACAGAGCTACGTTTATGTCTAAGTTTCAGTTAGCCTAGCACTGTTTGGTTTGTAAGATTCTTATTCATGATGTTTAGAGGGGAGAGGTACTTAGGGCTTGGTTCATCATGAATTATGTAACTCTCTAGTTTGCTCATCAGTTCATTTTTATTAATATTTTATAGTATTGAAGCCAGTTATCCAGGAGTCTGTCTGATAAGGTTGGCATGTTTGAATATTTGTTTAGAAATTCTGAACTTGTTGATCGTGGGATTCTATATGCTTTCGTTAAAATATGTTTATTGATATGTGTTTTTGATACATTTATCCATGTTATACAGGCATATTCTACGACTGGTCTTATGTATGTTCTGTAATATTTTAATATGTTTCTGGTGAAGCTTCTTGTTTGTTGCCAGTCAGGCTTACCG